AGATAAAAGCATTTTCCATCACTGTGTGTATATATATATATATATATATATATATATATTTTCTTTTTTAAGTCAAGTCTGTTTTAAAGCCATTCTTGGCCATTGAGCCTTAATGTGTATTGTTTTGTATCTGTTCTCTGATTTAGTATTATTTTGTCTAAGTCTCTTTATGCTGCCGCCTTGACCAGGTTGTGTAATTTCTTTTCAACCACAGCCAACCCGCACCTTCCCTCAGCCTCAGCAGCCGTCCTGCACTTCCAGAGCGATGGCTCATCCTTCCCGGGGAGCCGGCTCTCCAGCCGGTTCCTCTCGCCGTGGTCGAGGCTCCTCGTGTTTGCTGTCCTCTAAGACCTCTGGTGGTGTTTCGTGCCACAATCGGGGAGGTGAAACAGATATGCTGGAGCGGATTCTGCAGAAGCCCAAACTGGTGGTGGTGGAGGAGCCCAAGGAGAGAGGCATGAGGTTTCGCTATGAGTGTGAGGGACGCTCAGCCGGAAGCATCCTGGGGACGTCCAGCACTGAAACCAACAAGACTCAGCCTGCTATAGAGGTACACACATTACACTTACATTTGGTTTTTGTTTTGGACCTTAAAGGGGGTTTACTAGCTTTCAGAGTCAGTTGAAGAGGCTTTTAACCACAGTTGATTCTGTCTGTTGCTTATATTTGAACCCCCTTCTGTCGACGGGTTGAGCTGAAGGATGTGGGTTGTTGGAGTCAATTAGAAAGTCCCCACAAATCCCAGCTCGAGTGTGGTCAAAGACAGGCGGTTTATCCCCGCCCTGCATACTAACAAACACTCCTACACATTCATCTTCATCTTATACAAACACTATCACACAAGAACCACATTGAGGCAGGGGGATTTTAACAGTGAATATATATGGATCTCTGCATCTTGTGTAGATTGAATATAGTCACTGAAGTAAAACCCTCGCTTGATAATTAGGTCAATATAAGTCATATTTTAAAATGTAGTTTATTAAATTGTTTCTGCATTTCACAGCTCTTCTCCATTTTTCTCCATATTAGAAATGATAATATCACCATGTGGCAACACTTCCTAGATAACTGTTTGTGTGTGTGTACTGGGTGTATATTCTTCCTACTTCTCTCTTTCATCTTCCTGTTCTGTTCTCTGTGTCAGATTCAAGGTCCCATTGACCACATAAAGAGGGTCACAGTCACCGCTTCCTTGGTGACCAAAGACCTCCCACACAGACCTCACCCCCACTGCCTTGTGGGTAAAGACTGCCCGACTGGTTCGGGTATCTGCATGGTCACGTTCAACCCTAACAGCAACCGACGTCACAGGTGCACATCCATCACTTATTTATCTGTTCTCCCAACACTTTATTAAATATGTGTTAAGATCTTTTACATTTAAAGTGTCCTGATAAAATGTGCTTTTTCTTCTTCCCTTGTGAACGTGCAGCTTTGCTAACCTTGGGATTCAGTGTGTGAGGAGGAGAGAGCTTGACGTTTCCCTTCAGAAGAGAAGAAACCAAAATATCGACCCCTTTCAAAGTAAGCTGGATCCAAACACAGTTATTATTGTTGTCTCTCTGTGCGTCCGGATATTGAAACATAAAGCATGATATAGTTTAAATCCATTGTGACTCTTCAGAAACAGACATCATGATTGATTTTTGTGTCTTTTCATCCGTCAGCTGGTGACTCAAAGGGCATTGAAGACATGGACATGAACTCGGTGCGGCTGTGTTTTCAGTGTGAGCTCGAGTGGGATGACGGCAGAAAAGACTGTCTCAGCCCAGTGGTGTCCAACCCCATCTATGACAAGAGTAAGACGTCGCCAAGCACACACTTATAATCTTCATCACAGTATAACCAACGACATTAAAATATGTAAATGTTTCTTCCAGATTCTCACACATTGTTGCAATTTGTTCACAGAGGCCACAACTACATCACAGCTGAAGATCAACCGTCTGAACCAGTACAAAGGTTCCTGCAGCGGCAAGACGGAGATCTACATGTTGTGTGACAAAGTACAGAAAGGTACATTGTTGTTTTTTTGTGTACATCCTGTTGCCCGTGGACAAAATCAGGCTGCAGGACTTAAAGAATCGATATGTAACTGTCAGAAAACGGAATAATAGTGAGACCAGCGAGCGTAAAGTGAACTGCAGTCAGCGTCCTGTTGCTCATACTTGCACTCCATACATTATCAGAAGGTGTGAGCGAGCATCATTCTGGGCATAAGAATAGTGGTACTATCTGCAAACAAGCTAATGTTAGCCAGGAGGTGGAGGAAGAAGACACTCTGAAGCACACATAAACCGATAGGCTGTTACAGGCAACCAAGGTCTCATTTTTTTTATGTTACACCACAACCCGTTCTAAAATTGGCAATAAAAAGTGATTAATTCATAAATCAAATAACCCAAACTTGAGTTAACAGCTATTTAAACTAGATACTGCTCATTTGAGACATACTTCTATGACTAGCCTGTTTTTTTTAGGCTTAGCTTCTTGCTCATGTTTAGTTTTTGATTAATCTAATCTGTAAACTACCTGAGGACTGTGATTCATAGTAGTGTCTGTGAATTGACATGAGCTTCACCAAATAGATATTTACTTCAGGGTTTTGTTGTAGTAAAAAGGTGTTTCTGATATTCTATCGAAGGAAAATAACATTATAAATGTAATGAGCTTGCTCAGGATGATAGAAAATTTAAATAGCAGGCACATTAATCACATGGACCAATATTCTCAGGTGTATTTCTAAGTTCTCCTGATTAACTTTGCTCTGCGTATTGTCACTGATCCACAGATGACATAGAGATCATCTTCAGGCAAGGGTCGTGGAAGGCGAGCGGTGAGTTTGCCCAGACAGACGTGCACCGGCAGATCGCCATCGTGTTTAAGACCCCACCCTACCAGGACCAGGACATCACAGAGGAGGTTGAAGTGAGCGTCGCCCTGCGTCGACTCTCAGACCAGATGGAGAGCGAGCCTGTTACCTTCACGTACCTCCCGCACAACCAAGGTCAGTCAGGACTTAAGCTTAAATGGCTGAACTTCATTAATACACCATGCAGGAGGTTAATTGAAGTATTTCTGTCCTCATTTCAGATCCATACGAGGTGAAGCGGAAGAGAAAGATAAAGTCAGATATGAGCTTCAGAGACAAACCGTGTGTGACAGGTGAGTCTCGAACGTCATCATTCCTTGTCTCTGTTTCTTTATTTGCGTTCACTTCTTCTGATATGTACAAAGAGGCAAGTAGCCTTTGAGTCTGTGTAGGTCTTTTAAAGGCAGAAAAGCACAGGTGCTGCTCGTAACATTAAAGCTGGACAGGGAGTTAGGGTCACACTTTAATCGGCCTTTCTGTCTCAGATGTTTTTGCTCAAACTGAACGTAAGCACAGGACCCCAGGTCAGTTTATTCAAACTAAATAATTTGTAATCACAGTGTAGGAGCTAGTGTGTCTTTATGTGTACTGGCTGAGACTATTTGTGCTTTCTACACTATCTATCATCTGTCCGTGTTTTGGCTTTAAGAACCATCTCAGTTACATATTGTTAGAGATGTGGCGACTGTTCTAAGCCACAGAAAAGAAGGTTAGCGTTTTTGTAAGAAAACATGTTCAGCTGCTGTTTACATGGAACCCGTCTCTACTTCGGCCTTCAAAGCTCTCATTTGAATACAACCAAATCTTCATGAGCCCTTGGCTTCTGTGCTCACCTCATTGCAGCATACCGTAGCCCTCGCGGTTCTTTTTGCCAACGACTGCTGGGTATGGTCCTGACACTCCAGCGCCATCCATTTTTGTGGCTAGTTGAAACATGTTTTATAACCAATAAGAAATATGTTTGGCTGGTTAATTTTCTCAGTTAGTCAGAGGAGCCAGAAAGTTTAATTTTGGACCCTGGGACCAAAGATCAGCTCACACTGCCGACCCAAATTTTTGGCATGCTAAAAAATCCATGCAATCGGCTGAGAGCCAGATCATTGATCATTCAGGCAATGAATCCCTCTCAAACTACATGTCAGCCACACATCAAGTGTCCCAGTAAGTCATGATAGTGAACCAGCGTGCACAATACCAGGAATTAAACTGAAGCGGCTAAATTGAATTTAAAATTTTTGTTTACACCTTTGTTTTCTGTGAAAGGGGCCAAAGTTATGTTTATAGTGAACTGTGTATTGTGTTATACATAGAGGTGTTCAGCCTACTGTTATTGATAAATGGTGTGGAGAAAATTGTCCTGTCAGTGTAACTCAACACAATTCAACAGCATCACAAACTACTAGATTTAAATAATATCAAGACTCAGACCGCAAGAATCACACGATCAAGTATAAAATTCTAACTGACCTGTCATCATATTTCAGCTATTTATTTTCTCTGTAACACGATCCGTTTCCTCTCCTGCAGCAGAAAGTGCACCTGTAGCCGAGCAGCCCTTCCACTTTCCGCAGCCTCCGACCATGGCTCCAGATGAGAGGCTTTGTGCTGCCCAGCCTGACGTCTCCGCTTTAGGTTACAACGAGCTCCCGGACTCAAACAATGCCGCTGACGCAACGGCCATCCTTCTTAATCAGTTGCTAGAAATGCCCGAATTATGGGAAATCATATCCAACCCGACCTTCCCCCCGCCCGTGCCCTCTGGCTTTGAGCCTGGGCCCGACGCCAATTCCACATTTGCCAACATGGATATGAACTTTAACCAGAACTTTGGCTTTACCCAGTACAACGACCTGCAGTTCAACATGCTCGTCAACGAGAACCAGACTCCGCTGTTGGAGGCACAGGACAGTTCCTCTAACATGGTTCAGGTGAAGACAGAAGACGAGCTATGAGGATGGGGCAGTTGGAATCATGTAGCACTCTTACACATCCTCTGTCCACTTTAAAAGAATAATTAGACATTATGGGAAATATGCTTATTACCTTTTTGACATAGCCAGTCTTTGCCCTAAGCTAAAGCTAACCAGCTGCTAGTTTCAGCCTAATATTTTGCATACAGAAGTGAGAGTTGTCTAGAACTTCTCCTCTAACTCTCCGCAAGAAAGCGAATAAGCATATTTCCACCCCCCAAACAAAACCTGTCCCTTAACCCTTCGGGAGTTAGAGCCAAACACCATTATGTTGTCCCAAACCCAAGACGAAGCAAAATGCCTCCTTTGCTCCGGCTGCTTGCACTGTGAAATGTGTTTGTAGACTCATTTGGTTTCACACCTCTGCACTGTTGCTCTCACTCACCCCACATGTTTTGTCTGAACGCCTTGCTGGTCGAGGCTTTTAGCAACCAGGAGCAGGTTTACATTCCAAAATCTGAAGTGCTGCTAGCATTAATCTTGAGGTCAGAGGAAGGACGGAGAAGAGAACTCATAAACATATTGGGAACAGTAGAAACCCTTCCATGAATTGATGTGTATTGTGGTAAATCATTGATGGAGTGAGACTGAAGTACCTGTCATGTAATGTTTGTGTGAGGTCTGTTTTTGTCTGCTTCCAAATTATTATTGGGGAAACGATCTGACTTCCTACTAGATGTGGTCGACATTGTGAAAGAGTCGTAGTTTTTAAAAGAAAAAAAGTCTCAAGTAGAGTAGTTTGAGATTGTTCTTGTGTGCTATTAGTCTCTGTCAATGTGTCCGTCACAGCAGCTTGTTTAATATTTAATCTACTTTTAAATGCAATAGAAACCAGTCCGTCCTTCGCATTCATAGGTCTGTGTCAGTTCCTTTTTGTTCCGCAGTTTCAGTCTCGTGCCAAGAAATTAAACGTGTACTCTGTAACTTGTCATGAGTCCAACTCCGCCCCCTCACTGTAGCGTCAATGTTTCAGACAAGATAAAAATAAAATTTCAGTCTGTTATTTCTGTCATGTCGTTACTTCCTCTGAAACTGCCTTCTACTTTTATGTTTATGTTAGATTATGTTTGTTAGATGTCAAAAAAAAGAGGAAGAAGTCACTTTTGAATGTGACCCAGCCGACTGCCTACACACATTTTTAACCTGCTTGCTCACTTACAAACACAGTTAATGTTGGCAACAGGCAGATGGTTTAATGCTTTTTACATCTGAACTTTAAATATCAGCAATGTCACAAGACAATGTTGAATAACTTGTTCGCCCAAAAAAAATCAGATGGAAAAAAAGTGTCCTTTGTTTGTTATCAGACACCTTACTGGTCCATTTAGTCTCACCGTCTTAAACTAACACAGGCAACACAAAGGCCTTTTTTATTTTCAATAACGTGTCACATCTTACAGTAACCCATGCTGAAAAAAATTCTCTATTTCTCCTTTCAGCTTGTGTGGTTTCTGCTGAGTCTTTTGTAAGACCACAGATTTATTGGGAAACTTGTAACAGCGCTTAAAACATTTTCATAGATTGAGACAGATTGGGAAATACACTATTACTTAACATCAATGGGAACATCCAATTTAAGGTCATGTTTCAATCATGTTTTCTCTGAGTTATCATCTGTAAGCTTTTCATGAAAACAAACTCAGTTTATGGTGGGAAATTTTACAGCAATAGCAGTTCAAAGCATTTACTTTATGTCATTTCCTCTCTTTATCTTGGGTTTCATGTATTGATTCAAACTGCCTTTACACCAGAGACACACTCGTTGCTTTTCTGTTGGGTTAAATTAATTAATTGTTTAGTCTGTTTAATATCAGAAAACAGTGGGAAACCATCCATCACATGTTCCTAGAGTGCAAAATAAAATGTTCAAAGTGATTGTTTTGCCGAAAAACCCAAACATGTATAATTTAAAATGACAGAAAAAGTAGCAAATGTAAGAAGTGGAAACCAGTAAACTTTTGTCTTTTTATGATAAATTATGCTCAGTTGATTAGTGGACACTGAACACTTTATTCATCGTCTCTCCCACAAACATGTTTTTACTGAGAAGTAAACAAACACTGGTGAGAGATGAATAATTTAAATATATAACATTCATAGTGGCCCATCTGTGAGCCTGGTTCCCCTGTGCTGCTGCTGCTGGGCGTGCGTTGGTTGGAGCAGGTGTTACCTTTTATCAGGCGCTGCCCGTCACTGTTGAATTGACCTGAACACATGGTTTATTTACAGTCGCTGGGAAACTCCACACTGGGCTGGTTTCCAAGGCCTTTTATCTACTGTGCACACAGATATACACATTATTTCCTGTGAAATGATAGCATTCCCGGCTGCTAGGACTCGTCCGGACATGTCTACACCATCAGTCTTAACACATGGTCATCCTCTCTGCTAAAGTGGTGGTTTAATAAAGACCTCAACAGTTACTGAATTCAGTTGCAGCGCAGCACTAATGGGTTTGTTTATGAGCTACAGGAAGCATTAAAATACTTAATTATTTCCTTTCAGGTATATTTATATAAAAGATTTGTTCTGGTCATGAGATTTGCAGGGACAGTTGTAGCTGGAACAGTTCAACATTTTGGCAAATTAGCTTTCCTGCTTGAGTTAGATGAGAAGATTAAGATCTCTCAGACATCAGGACCAATTTTCTCATCTCACTCTCTGCAAGAAAGCAAATATTTCCCAAAATGTAAAACCAATGTGTAGGGTTTAGTGACACCTAGTGGTGAAGTTACAGACTGCAACTAACTGAACACCACTGATGTCTGTAAATGAAAACCTGGGATTAGAACAGGGCATGAAATGTGAAGGAGAAACTCATGATATCTAAAGTCAGTGTTTGGTTTGTCCATTCTGAGCTACTGTAGAAACACGGTGGACTGTAAATAAAAACGTCTCATTCTAAGGTAACCATAACACAGCAATTCCTATAATCAGGTGATTATACA